TAGGGAAACAAAAAGAGTATGTTCAATGCTAGTTCCTAATATATTGAGGTAGTACGGCTTTGAAGAAAGACTTGTTAAATTCCATGGTTTGCCTACATCTGTAGGGTGTATTCTCAGCCCTTCAACTCTTGCTAAGTCCTTCATGCAAAAAAATACTTAATCAGAATCTGTGCAGGGAGACAAAAACTTAGTAGATTAAAAAAAGAAAGGAGAAAGAAAAAAAAGAGAAAAAAAGAGCAGGGGAGAGTGAGACAGAGTGACAAAGAATAGATTTTCCTAGCTGTACATTCACAGAAGGCTCTTCCTAAACCATTCTTATTGGTAAGATGAGTAAGAAAAGTAAGAACAGAGAATTCCTTTCAAGGCTTTGGGAAACAGCTGATTTGTTCAAAGGAGAACCAGGACACCAATCCATTTTTGGGGAAACAATCTGAAGCAGAATTACCATCGGACCAGTGGAAAGTCAGTTACAGACTGTGTATATTTGCAAACCAATTGGAATGACATCAATTGTGAGTTTAAAATAACCCTTGAAAACCTCCATACACAAATCTCTAATTCTGAACTGAAAATGCATTCTCCCCATTACTTCAGTTTACTTTAATGAGCAAACAAGCCTGTCCTCTTTCTCTGCCATGGGATAAAAATATTTCTCTACCATGTAAGTATTTTGAAGGTAAATACATTACAGAATATAAAATACTAAGTCACCATAGTGAGGGAGCTTACTTAAGGACACTAGATACATTGAATTTTACTTTTTAGGTACAGTATGGAGCTTTAGAACACTTTTTAAAATAGGAGTAAATTTATAATATTGGTTCTACTTATTTTTACAGCAGTAGAATAACACAACAAATACCTGTATTTCTGCTTCAGAACTTCCAGTTCTAACGTTGTATCAGTGCTCTGTGCATCTGTGGTAGAGTCCTCACACCCAAAGCAATACTGGAACACACTCTAAACAAAACATGGAACCAAACTGAAATCAGCTATTATAGTCTGACAATACATTAAAAATCCCAAATAAGTGAATGGTAACAGTCTCCACACAGCATTAAAGTTGAAAAGAGTTTCTGTTATGAAGTTATTTTTTGTATATTAAGCATTTGTTTTGCAAAATTTGTTTAATGAGAAAATTCAGTCTACCAACACTGCTGAAACGAAAAATGAACAAATAAAAGAAGACATGCCAAAAGGGAGTAATTGTATTTTCGGTCTGAGTAACTTTTGTAGCTTGTCTCACTTAGTAAAGTCACAGGTCACTGAGAATTCAAACACTAATTGTATCAGAATAAGTTAGGCTGCACTCAAACTGATTTATCATTTTCACTGAAGTTAGTCAAGGTCTAATCACGATTCAACTGATGTCAGTTAATGATTGAGTCTTATTAATGCAATGTTCCTAGCAATCTGTGTAAAAAGTAAGTCAATCATATCACATTTTAGTAAGAATTCTTTAATCTAAGATTCACCATCTTACCATAAATCCACAGTATCTCGGTCTGTTGGGATATACAGTGATTGATTCCTGGTCCACCCGACTTAAGAACCAAAATGGTAGCTTCTTCTCTAAGTTGGTGTGAAGATTAACCTAAACATAGTTTTGCACTTAGAATAAGATACATTCTCTTAAGATAAAGACACATTATCAAGTGAAAATAACCATCATGTCATTATATTCAAATCACTATATCTAGATGTCAAGTCTCAGAGGATATCTACGCTGCAAACAATGGTATAATATTTGAATAGTCCAGCCCAGACACTAAAACCATCAAGTCGTAGCAGTATTGAGTATCTTAGCAGAATTAATTATTCTACACAGATGTGCACTCTTATAACTAAAATGGTTCCAAAACTGAGTTAGCTCTTGTGTAATGGCTTGAATAGCTTCTTCGTACACTGTGGGTTGCAGTATAGAATTACAGGGCAGAAATGTTCAAAAGACAGAATACCTATCATAGCCACGGAGAGAGTGATCTTTCTCTCTTTAATTGTGCCATATCCTTTTACTAGATTATGACGGAGTCAGTATAGATTAAGATGCCAGTGAAATGCCTGTGAGAGAAGTTTTCCCTTGGGTAGAAACAAGTATGTTGTATATCCTGTCACACCAGAAGCGCTGGAGCTGAGTAATGCAGCCTGATCTGCCCCCTGTATAACAACCAGCGCCACTAAGAAAAGGCGACGGGTGATAGTAGTAGGCAACTCTTCTGAGAGGTGTGGAGGCACCCATTTGCTGACTGGACGCACTCTCTAGAGAGGTGTGCTGCTTACCGGGGGCTTGCATCAGGGATGTCACCAAGAGGCTACCAAGCCTTGTACAGTCCACTGACCATTATCCGCTGCTGCTGTTTCACGTGGGCACCGGTGACACAGCCAGGAGCAGTCTGAGGACTATCAAGAAGGACTACAGAGCCCTGGGAGCGGCGGTAAGGGACTCGGGAGCACAGGTAGTTTTTTCATCAGTCCTGCCGGTCAAAGGGAAGGGGTTTGAAAGGGCCAGTC